CCGGCCCCGCGTGGGCCCGGGGGTGTGGAGGACCTGGCCTCGGCCAGGAGTCGGGCGACGGGAGGCCAGAGCGCGAGCTCGAGGCCGCCCTTTCGAGTTCAGGCTTTGCGCCTTCTGAGGACTCGGTTGAGGGGGAAAATGGCTTGTCAGCGTTTCAGCCACTTGGGACCTGTGCCAGACCCTTTGCGCTTCGCTTCTCCAAGTCATCGTCCAGCGAAGCGTGCTCATGAGCGGGTCCCCTAGATCCCAGGGCAAATAAGGGGGTGCCTGGATACATACTGAGGGGCCGTGGTCTTGTCCCCCAGGGAGCCTCCTCCCAGGCGCTTCAGCTGTGGGGCGCTGCACTAACTGCTATGAAGGTTGATTTGCTCGTTTAAGTAGCGTAAGTTGGCACAAGTGTGGGAGGCTGAGATTTTGGTAAGTGGCGGCGGGGTCTCCACATTCCAGTCAGCTCTCATTGCCCTCGTTATCTGGAACTGGCCGTTGCCACACCAAGAGTGGACTGGGCCCGGGATGGACGGGCTTTCGTTTTTCATCATGGCCTTTTAAAAGTGTCATTTATTGTGACCAAGTGCATCTCTTCCGGCATTTAAGTGGCACCCCATCCCCGGTATAGATAGTGGTGCCCATTTTACATATGAAAATGCAGGGCAAGTAACTTGCCCAAGGAGATCTGAGAACGAAGAGCCAGGGATGAGAAAATCCAGCTCTCGCTACCTCCAAAGCCCAGAATACTGGATATACTTTCTAAGGGACGCTTTAAAATAGATACTCCCGAGTATCAAATTGGGAGATAGGGAGAAACGTGTTTTTAAAATAAAAGGATTTATATACCATGTCATTTTTTTAAGGAAAACATTTAGTTTCACAATGTTTGGGGACCTGTTTGAAGAGGATTATTCCAGTGTGTCAAGTAATCAGTGTGGAAAAGGGAAGATATTAAAGGCCAAAGCTTTGGAGCCACCTGCTCCTAGAGAATTCACCAATTTAAGTGGAATCAGAAATCAGGGTGGAACCTGTTACCTCAATTCCCTTCTGCAGACTCTCCATTTCACACCTGAATTCAGAGGTATGCTATGTTACATCCATTGGATCAGTAATAATACCCTCACCTTTGCAGGCAATTAATTATGCAGATGGATCTGAAAGGTATATGCCACAATATGAGTTGATTACTGTGTTAATGTAAGACACCAACTGGTAATTCTCCCTGCAAGGAAACCTGAGACATCATCTTAAATAGATTCTGTGTGATTACAGTCATGTTTAGTAATAAAACCAGAAACAAAGGCAGTGTCCTTCTGATTCCTAGAAATCAAAGTGCAACATAAAGACAGTTTTGTCCTGAGCACCCGCCTTAATTATTGTTACACTATTTGTAATCTTTGAGTTTTCAGATTTCTCCAAACTAATAAACACTCAAGCTAGACTCACCCAAAACAATTATATCATGCCTTTTGGAGCAAGGAGGTCTGTAATTACTAGCTTCAGTCCTGACCACCTCGCTCCGAAACACCAAAGATGGTAGAGAAGGAATTATATGTAAGAAACAGAAACCCATTCAAGTGAGCTCACTTAAAAAGGGATTCCCCAGAAACCACCCACAGTATGCTGCCTGACCTCACTGGACCTTTGATTTCTGGCCCCAGTCTCTACGTTTCTGCCCCATTCCCATCTCTGCAAGCGAAGACCAGGGTCCTACTCTGCTCCCTTGATTTCACGTTGCCCTTTGCCTGCCCATTACCTGCTGGGGGCCCCAGTGCAAAGCCATGTGTAGCTGTCCACAGTGTCCCATGCTCCGAGGACAGACACCTGTATCCAGCAGTCCGGCCCATAGCAAGATCAAGTCTGTTCCACCACTACCACATTTATCCAGTCTTCATTTTCTGTTGCTTCTACACTTAGAAATATTAAAAAATCTCCCACTGGAGATTTCAGTAATACTGTTTTCCCCTTCCCAAGGCCATTCTAATGGATTGGACTGTGAAATTAAGAGCAGTGTCTTTTGTCCTTGGCTCCATCCTTCCATGAAATTATCTTCTGGATGTGCTCTGTAATTTCACTACTAGAAGTTTTCTGTTCTAATAAGCAGATTTCCAGGGAGGGCTAAAACTCTTTTAAATTTTAACTCAGCTGCAGTCAAAGGCAGGTCTAAGTAGAAACATAGCTTTCACGAGACTGAAGAAGGTAGTTGTGTGGGACAGTAGGGCTGAGGCCCCTTGCAGCTTCCTTTCTAACAAAGGGGATGCTGGCCAGCCATGTGGGTGGACTCTTAGTGGACTGTCCACCCCTCGTGAACTGTGGCGTGATTGCTGATGAAGGAGACTATCACTTAGAAAGATTAAGCACTGTCTGGGAGTTAGGAGGACAATTCTGAAGCTTTTTAGACTAAAACTTTAAGGAGTGGGATTCGATCAAGCTCTCAGTTCAGCATGTAGCTGAGCATGATGGGAAATGATTGCGGAAGTCCAGGCCGTTGCACTCCATCGTTAGGTCTGTAGTTCGTGCCTTCCCATTCTGCCAGGAGTTCAGGAGGTAACTTTCCTGACAGTAGGGCAGCAGTGGTTTTCCTGGGGACGCAGCATGTCCCTTCTCTGCCTGGAGCCTATCAAAGGTTCCTCGCAGGAGTTTCCAACTAGGTGTGAAAATAGACTTCCCAAAAGATCCAGGTATGCCCCCTGTGGTAGTACTGCATTATTAATAATTCTGGAAACGGGCACTGGGTTGCTAACTTATTTTTTTAGGTAAGATCACTATCATCTGTTGTACCTTCCACACAGAAAAGAGATTTTCATGGTACAAAAAGGAAAGGCGCGGTGTCCCTCAGAGAAGGGTGGCTGGAGCCTCACAGGTGTAAGTGAACCCAGCAGCACTGTCACATAACGGTGCACCTTCGTATCCCTCCTGTTGCTTTTGGGGCCCTCTGCCTGGGCATTAGGATGCCATCAGAGTTCTGATGTCATTGCTTTTAATTTTAGGTGTGTTAATTTTTTTTTTGTAGCTCCTCTTCATAACGTTGGCATGCTGCTTTGTAGACTCACTGGTTAAAATGTTACCAGAGGGTAAAAATGTGTATAATAAAAATGCCATAATCATCTTTCTCAATCTGTAATTTTTTTTTTAAAGATTTATTTATTTGTGCATACAGAGCTGGGGTACAGGCCAGAGGCTCAGGGGCAGTGAGAGGCTTCACCAGAGACAGAGCAGGGAACAGAATAGGCAGATAGACAAAGTACACTGCTGAGGGGAGCAGCGGGCGGGTCAGGAGAGGTCTGCCGCGCCATGTGGTCACCTCCGGGGCAGGCGGGGATCGAACTCATGTGGAAGCGGCTTTAGATTCTCAGTGCAGTGCTTTAACCCGCTGTGCCACCAGGGAGGGCCTCAATCTGTAATTTTACTTACTGATGGTGTTTGCTTCCTAAAAACAAGTTTTCTAAAATGAAATAATGTTATTCATACTCTGATTCTACTCCTTTTTTAGAAGCCTTATTTTCTCTTGGTCCGGAAGAGCTTGGTTCTTTAGAGGATAAGGATAAACCCGATGCAAAGGTATGTAATCTGTGGTGTATAGATTTTTTTTTTTTGGATTATCGAGGGAATATTTCTTAAGGGAGGGATTGTGTTCATTATTTCTAGAAATCGATGATTTTTATTAGTTTATTTTCAGAAAGTGAGTTGGCCAGTACCCTTCTGGTAATGGAATTTCCTTTCCAAGAAAGAATTACTTTTCCAAATACAATGCCACTGCTGCTTTCTAGACGTGCCTGACTCTTCAATGTGCTCATACTTTCTTCTGATCAAAGAGCTATTTACAAATTGCCCACACTGGCCTACCAGAAAAAAATCCATTTTTACTTGCAGCAACAATAAAGGGTAGAGGCCAATATCCTTTCAATTTGGTATTTTGGCAACAAGTTGGTTAATTTTAAGTGCAGATCTAGTGAGGTTCCTTCCCTGCACAAACGTCGGTTAGCAGTTTATAACTCTCAAACTAAATCTGGGCTTCTTAATCGGAGGCTCCTGTGATCAGCCCAGGGCTTCTCAGATCGCCTTTGTGACAACGGCCTATTTTTTACATATTTTTAAAAAATCCTAATCTGTTGCAGATCATATTCTTGTAAGACATGAAGAAACCATTGTGGCAACATTAGGTTGCTGAAGCACCCTAAAGGCTGATTGTCACTGTAGATGCTCCAGCCCAGACTGCAGGCCAGTCACTAGCAACTTTGTCAGTCTGTCCAGTCCAGTCCAGTCCAGTGTTCACACCAAATGAGGCAGCAGTGTTGTGGGAGGAAGCACACAGGGTCCAGCCAGCTATGGGGGGAGTCCAGACACCCTAGAGTGAGGTACTATCACCCGAAAATTCCTCATAGAGTGTTTGTAGTGAAGATATTTTATAGAAGGAAGATCTGTTAGAGATGTGCATTAGTATCTGTAATTAATTGGGTAATTTTTAAGGCCTGTTTGGGTTTTAATATTGATCTGGACTATATTAAGGTAGAAAACTCCAGATAGCTAAAACTTTTTGTACTGAATTGAAATTTTCAAAGAAAAATAAGTCTTTATTTGCCCTGTATGTCAGTTTATTATAACTAGTTTATAAGAAGATAAACATATAAAGATTTATCACGTAATATATAAGCATTTTCCCGAGCACACTAGAATACAGTTCTTTTGAAGAGATGCAACACTTGAAAGACTTCATCTAGAAACACATTTGTTCCTCAGGTTCGGATCATCCCTTTACAGTTACAGAGGCTCTTTGCTCAGCTTCTGCTCCTGGACCAGGAGGCTGCATCCACGGCAGACCTCACAGACAGCTTTGGCTGGACCAGCAATGAGGTATGTATGAAGGTCGGCTTTTCCAGGAAGTACCCAGGGAGGTGTAAACACTGGTGTAATGAAGTTAATTTGACTTTTGAAATTTTGTTATCAGCGCTCAAGATAGTGTTTAGATGTTAACTAAATAATTATATGCCAGAAATTTTTATTTTAAACACGATATACGCAAGCATAAATTTCTGTGATTTGGGGTTGGGGAGAGGGTTGTGGACTCAGGGACATGTATCAGAACTGATTTTACGGTCTCTACCCAGAGAACCTTTCTACATTCGAGCGGAGAGTATTACATAAGAATTGCTTATCCTCTATTGAACTGCTAATCGGCTGAAAAACCTTTGCAGCAATAAGTTTTTGCTGTCACGAGGGGCTCTGTGCTTGAATTAAACTGTACTGTTGAATCAGTGAAACAACAAAACATTTCTTGGCAGGTCTTTCGAGCCTCGTCCCCTGCCTTCCTCCTGGCTCTTCATTTCCTTTCTGTGTCCCGATTTGAGAACTTTCATCTTTCTGTTTGCGTTCCTGGAGGGACCTCCACTGTCTCCACACACTAAACGCTTGACAGTAGCACATACCATGAGCTGCAGCCATGCAGACAAACAGACCAGGTCTGTGGGATAGATGTCCTATCATGAGACAGGCGTAGGGGACTGTCACAGTGTCAGAGAGTGATCAGAATGATGTTATGTTGCTTCCAACTATAAATGCTACACAGCAGGCTAACGGTGGGCCCCTTAGCTATACACTGCAGGTGGCTAAGGAGCGCCCTGGGCGGTGGCAGGAAAACAGGTAGCAGCGCCTCCCCCTCGTGGGCCCCGTCGTTGCTGGTGTCAGGCAGCTGCTGGGAGCCCATTTCTTTCTCTTGCTTTGTTTTAAAAGCAAGTACTTCATTAAGGTAATGCTCACTTGCCATAAAATTCTCTCTTTTTTTTTTTTTTTTTTAAGATTTCATTTATTCATACAGAACTGGGGTACATACAGGCCAGAGGTGCGGAGGGTGAGAGGATTCACCAGAGACAGAGCAGGGAGCAGAGCAGGCAGATCGATGAAGTCCACTGCTGAGGGGAGCAGCGGGCGGGTCAGGAGAGGTCTGCCACGCCATGTGGTCACCTCTGGGGCAGGCGGGGATCGAACTCATGCGGAAGTGGCTTAAGCTTCTTAGTTCTGTGCTTTAACCCGCTGCGCCACCAGGGAGGGCCAAAATTCTCTTTTAAAGGGTAGAATTCTGGGCTTATTTGAGTTTTTTGATTGTTTGTTTTTAGTATTTTCACAGAGCTGTACAACCATCACTATATATAATCATCACCCCACAGAGAAACCCCATTCCAGTCAGCATTCTCTCCTCTATCCATTTCCTCAATTCCTTATATTTTTCTAATAGCACTTTTCAGATCTGTTCATAAGTCTGAAGCCCAACATTACAGTGAAAAATTACCCGGTTTTGTAGGAACTGAGGCAACATGACGTGCAGGAACTGAATCGAATCCTCTTCAGTGCTTTGGAAACTTCGTTAGTCGGGACCTCTGGCCACGACCTCATCAATCGTCTGTATCACGGAACCATCGTTAACCAGATTGTTTGTAAAGAATGTCAGAATGTCAGTGAAAAGCAGGTGACTATCCGGGAGTATGTATCGTGAGTTAAAACGCGTGTAACTAAATCTCAGCCTGCCCACGTGAGGGTTGAAGTACTCACTACTAGAAATAGTTTTTCAGCTTTGTGTCTTTTACTCTAGCTACACGTAAGTCATCAGCTTATTAATTTCCATGTGATCTGCAGGAAGCAAATGAAACATAACTTTAATCTTAGTACTAAATTAGAAAATAGATTTGGTGGATATTTACAGAGAGGTGTTCCTGAGGAAAGCCAGTATCACAGTTGGTGGTTGAAATAAAGAAAGTTAATTAGGAAAATAAAAAAAGCAGAGATTACTCAGGAATATTAAATTGACAAACACCTATAATTAAAGACTGGATTTGGTTTAGCTCTACCCTTTGAAAAGTTCATTTGTGTGTGCTTGCTTATGTTTATTGTATATGTATAGATAGAGCTATTATAATCCCATTTTAACCAATGTAACCTTTAGCTCTTGGTCATAACTCAGACTGCCCATTTAATGTGACTGCAAATTAGATACTGGAGAATTTGCTTGTGTAAATATAATTCTGTTTGTTCTACAGATCTTACACTGCAAATGGCTTCATTACTAAGTAGCCATGCTGCTTAACACATACTGCCTTCTGGCAAAAGCCATAGAAAAGTTCTGCACTTTACTGTATGAGTGAAAAATTTAATGCTGTTTTCTGAATGTTGTTCTAACTGCTCTTTGGAATATATCAATATTGTATTTTTTATGAGAGCGTTGGGGATAAAACCACTTGTTGGCCCTATTGCTCACGCCCTTGGAAGGTTGGGCCGTCCTAGTTTGGAATATGACTGTGTGGTGTGTGTGTGTTGTATGTACGGCTGTGTCATTGGCGTGTCTGTAATATTTCACAAAGTGATTTTATTTATTTTTGCATAGAAGAACTGGGGTGTGGGCCAGAGGTGCAGGAGGGGTGGTGAGTGGGGAGCAGCAGGTGAGACAGGAGAGGTGTGCCACACCCTGTAGGTCACTCCCTGGTTGGGACGGATCTCAGGTCGTTGTTGCAGTAGTAGTGCGAAGCCTTAACTGAGGCCACCAGAGAGGCCCCCATGAGGTGATTTTAAAATATCATGAAAGTGCATTAACTTTTCACGCATATATGATACATTTCATGTATCACTTTTATTATGTTCTAATTAGTATTGTATTTACGATCCTTATCCTTTCATCTGTTGCTCTCTCTCACACACACACACACACATACATAGAACTATAAAGATGATTTAAACTTGTCAATTTATGTTTATTACTAAAAATGTGATAATTCAAATATATTTATAGTGGAACTGCAAGCTGTCACTTTGTGAATGTCAACCCTGACTCAAAATAATTTTTTTCTTGTAACTGCTTCAGTATACCTTAAACCAACCTCACCAGCAGCAGCAGCGGCAGTGGCGGCATTTAGATTGGGCAGTCCAGTCCTGCCCTTGCCCCTCTAGTCTAGAGACTAACTCAGTACTCATAAATCGTGCACAGGCACGCCTCTCAATCCAGATATGTGTGCTACTGTATAATATAACTGTGAGTTAAATTACAGTTTGGTTTAGAAAGGATAATTTAATGTTACAAATTTCACAATATCAGATGTGTGTTCTGTGTTTTGGGAAAGGTACATCTGACCACTCGCAGTGTTTGGGTGAGTTGATGATGTGTTTGTGAACCTCCGTGAAATTGCTTCCTCAATGTTGTCTTCATGTGTATTTCAGGAAGACTTCTTAGATCTAACAGTAGCGGTCAAAAATGTATCCGGGTTAGAAGATGCTCTCTGGAACATGTATGTAGAAGAGGAGCTCTTTGACTCTGACAACTTGTACCACTGTGGGAATTGTGCCAGGCTGGTTAAGGCAGCAAAGGTAAAGAGACACCCTCTCTGAGGGTGCCCACTTAGCCGAGCAACAGGTGAAGTCAGCTTGGATAAAGAGGTCTGGGGTCTGCATGCAGGGACTAGTAAATGCCAGGGCGTGAGGAAGGCGTTTACGCTGTGTATTTTAACTTTTATAAGTAGAGCATTCTTCAACTTTCAACCCAGCAATTCTGTTAACTTCTTTTTGTCCTCAGAAAAATTTACATGTAGCCCAGTGTTTCTTAAGTGTACCTCTTTGATGCCCTCCCCGTATCCCTGCTTTTTGCAAATGACCCTCAGGAAAAAACTTCATTTCTGCCAGCCCAGAAGCTTGTCGAGCTCCTCCGTCACCTGCTACTGTGAAGTCAGACGGTGCTCTTCATTTTCTGAAAAGGCAGCTATTGCACAGAATTGATAAGCACCCTCCTCAGGCAGCAGACCTAATTGCACTTTCCTCCTCTCCCAGAGGGAATACTGGATTGCTAATTAATGGCCTGACAGAGTGCTTGTGGTTTTCTTTCTATACAGCAAATCAAAATAGGGGATGACCAAGATTCAAGCAACTGATAACCTCTGTAGTGCACTGTCGGCCTGTGCTGTCCTCATGCAGCCTTGACAGCAGCCCCTGTGCCGCAAGCCAGGGAGACAGCCAGGCTCAGTGAGGGCAGCGGGCAGCGGGCTCGGGGAGAAACAAGCTCAGTCCAGTCAGCGGTTCTGCACATTGACTTGATACCCCAGGGGCGTCTTTGCAGTTGACCTGTGATGACTGTTGGCTGTTCTGTGACAGCACTGTGCCTAGAGCTGACAACTGTTGGATTTTTCAACACATCAAATGAGGATTGATACTGGTTTGGGTCCTGGAGATTATAAGTGGAAATGTACTAAAAGGCGGTGAACCCCATGCCTGTGGCTCTCACAATAGGGTTTAAAACCACAGCACGTTTTACATAGTTTAACATACATTTTATTTCCCTTTGGCAAACTCAGATGTATTATTTGCTTAGGCCATATTTTGCCTTTAATGTTACAGCTCCAGTCAGTGAGTATAAATTGACTTTGAGACCAGAAAAGTTATGAAGATACTGATACGTCCTCAATTTTGGGTTGAACTTAATTTGCACATTAGTAAAGCATGAGCCTTTTGCTAGACAGCAACAGTTTTTTTGTGCATTTTTAAAATATTTTTGATTTATCTTTATTTTTATTTTAATTTTTTTTTTTAAGATTTATTTATTTATGCATACAGAACTGGGGTACAGGCCAGAGGCTCAGGGGTGGTGTGAGAGGCTTCACCAGAGACAGAGTGGGAAGCAGAACAGGCAGATTGAGAGGCTTTGCCAGAGACAGAGTGGGGAGCAGAACAGGCAGATCGACGAAGTACACTGCTGAGGGGAGCAGCGGGCGGGTCAGGAGAGGTCTGCCATGCCCTGTGGTCACCTCCAGGGCAGGCGGGAATTGAACTCATGCGGAAGCGGCTTTAGATTCTCAGTGGTGTGCTTTAACCCGCTGCGCCACCAGGGAGGGCCCTTATCTTTATTTTAATGGAAATTTATCTTGATATTTTAAAAATGCCTTCTATTCTAATTACATTGAATTTATTGTATTCTTAGTTTAGACTTGGTTGTGCTACCTAAATTAATGCAGACTTTCTTGTTCTGAGCAGACTTTTTCAGTCACATTAGAGTTGAGTTACAATCTTTTTAGATGTGTTTTTTTAATCCATTCTCTTTGTAGATTGTTATTTGAAATTTGTTAGGGATGTTAGAATTAGTGACTGGGGATTATTTTATTTGAGGGGGAGGGTTGTTTTGCTCCCTCCCCCACGTGCCCTACGTTCACATCTTAAGAAATGTGTTCTTTTATGTAACTTTTTAAAATTTTTCAATTTTTTGGGAAAAGCTGACGGCTTTCGTAAAAATCTCCTTAATTTAGTATTTTTGTTTTAGAGCGAGGAATCAAAGCAAAAATACCTTCTTGTCTACTTTTAAGAAACATAAATGTGAAACCCAATGACTGGATCGCAACAGTCTGGGCAGTTAGAGCTCTTTGAAAATTCAGAAGATTATGGATCTTCTCCCCAGGAAATTCTTATACCCATCGATTCTTGTGTAACCCTAGCAGCCAGATCCCCTGAGACTGGTCCCTAGGACTGTGTCTGTGAGGGGGAGACTGACGAGGGGGGCGCCAGGAGCGCGGCGCTGCCAGTGGGCACACTGCCTGCAACACTGCGCAGGCGGCCGAGGTTGTGGCCCTCAACCTGAAAAACAGAGTCGGGTTGTGAGTTTTTAGTTGTGAGCACAAGCGTGTGAAGTCCCCTCTGGTCCCATAAAATAGATGTACTTCTGTGAAGAGTTGTGTTGAATTCTTGGTGGTGAGTATGTTTAAGGGTAGATTTCTCTTAAAACTGAACAAAGGTTGTCGTTCACATCTTAAGAAATGTGTTCTTTTATGTAACTTTTTAAAATTTTTCAATTTTTTTCTTTTAACAGTCGGCCAAATTACGTAAGCTGCCTCCCTTTCTTACTATCTCATTATTAAGATTCAATTTTGATTTTGTGAAGTGTGAACGATACAAGGAGACCAGCTGTTATACCTTCCCTCTCCAGATCAATCTCAAGCCTTTTTGTGAACAGGTTCGAACTATTTTCTGGTGAAATTGCTTCTTTTCCCTTCTCAAACTTGAACCTTTTGTTGACTTAATTTTTACTTCACTCCTCACAGAATCTTTCTGTCTTGGCATTATAATGTTTCGAGTCAGGTTCTTTCTGTTGTGGTGGGGTATCCCATGCCTTTCAGGGTGTTAAGCAGCACCCACCTACTTAAGATGACAGGGCACCTGCCCTCTCCCCATGCAGTGGTACAGGAGAATGTCTTCAGACCTTGTGAGAGGTCTGTGTTTCTTAGGGTGGAGAAGTGGGCAGAACTGCCCTGGCAGAGAACTGCTGGTTTGTTACAGGTCTTTTAAATTTCCAAAGTATGGATTTCTCCACAGTTCTTTTTACTAAATTCTCCCAGAAAAGTCTTTGAAAGAAAATTTAAGAACAAAGTTAGAATTTGAGCCTGCATTAGGAAAAACTACTACGAGTTGCACTTTGCTGGACGCAGTTTGTGTTAGGTGCAATAATGAGTCTACATGTAGAACGTGAACAGGCAGTTGGAGCTTCACTAGTCTAGAATTTGTAATCCTCAAGGCATGGGACACCAAAGATGTGAAGCAAATTACTCAGTCAACCTCCTTTATATGCCATTTGAAGGTGTTTTCTCTGTAATTGCTGTGTGTGCTGAGAGCAGAGTACTGACTGCTTCATTTCTTACAGATCAGTCTTACACAGTGGTTGAGAACAACATTGACTAGCTAGGTGCTGACTTTCTGTGTCAAAGGCCTTGTTTCAGTGCTCAGACGCAGATGGCCTTCCTCTGCTCAAGCTTAATTACTGAGATTCTCAGTCAGTCTTACTGCTTTAATCGCCACATGCCATTCCAGGGTTGTGTTGGCCCTGAGCCTGTGACTGGCACACACATAGTAAACCGTTAATTTACTTGACACCCCTCCCATTTTCTGCCTGAAACAGTTTTGTCCTTGTATAAAAAGTAGTTTGTCACATGACTTTCACATACTCTGAAATAACAAAACTAAAAGAAAACACTGAGCCCTTCTCTAGGGAAGTGACATTAATTTTACGTTTTCATTTCTGTAGTAATGCAAAAAGGTTGTCTCTTTGAATCTTGGTGTACATTTCTCTTTTGCTTGAGCCAGACATTTAAAAAAAAAATGCCACTTACTTTAAAAGTACAGTCTTTGATCTAGTAAGTTCCTCCAGTAATTAGTAACCCCTCAACATCTCTTAACCTAAAAGAGATTATTTTTTTGAATGGTGCCAGTATAGCTAGGAGTTCACCTATTGGGTGGGTGAACTAGTCATAAAGCCCAGTAACGATAGAACTAATAAAGGTAGAGTCAGTAGATCGAGAGAACTTTTTAATCCTATCAGCTGCCCTGAACCGAAGCCAGTTTTCATAACTTTGTAACTGCTAAGCCCCGGCTCCATGTGCAGGACCCAAGCGCCAGGAGGTGGTGGTGAAGTTGACTCTGACTTGGAGGCACCTAACCGCCCCGCTGGGTGCAGACAGTCCGTTTACAAAGCCGATGCGCAGGCGACACAGGGTTGGTTTCTTTCGCTTGCAACTGCTGACAGGCTCACCGATGGGCCGTGCCTCGTTGGCACGTGCTTACAGATCTCAGACACGGTTCATGAAAGTGACCTGTTGTTTGGATATTATGTTTCCCTGTGGGGTGCAAGAGTGTATTAGCTCAATGATAGATGATTTTCAATATAAAATTAAGAATTATAAAATTTAAGGCCAATAAGAGAATTTATCCTAATTTACTCTTAACCATAAACAATGATATTTCATCCTGCTTTCAGTAGTTGAAATTCCTTTTCCCTTTTTACGTTTTCCTATTTTACGTAAACTGCACCGATGTTTGCCTTCTTTCTTTGCAGGGTGAGTTGGATGACGTGGACTACATGTATGACCTCTTCTCAGTCATCATCCACAGGGGCGGCTGCTACGGCGGCCACTACCACGTGTATATCAGAGACGTCGACCACCTGGGGAACTGGCAGCTTCGGGTGAGTGGAGAACTGGGCTTCGCCGTATCCTTGCAGCTTCCTTCCCTAGTCCTGTTATTTGTAGGAGGCTCATATTTTGCTATTTGTGCATTTACTTTGTGGAAAACATTTGTATGTACTGAAAGTGAGCATACATACAAGTTTCAAATTGTTATTTCTAGATAATTTTACACAGGGAATTGCGAACGTAATACAAACTGTCTGTGTCCTCCACCTTGATTCTCCAGTTAGCATTTGCAGTCATGCAAGCACGCCGCGCAAGTGTGGTGCGTGCGCGTCACCTCGCGTGGTTAACAGTGAACCATTTGACCTTCGAAATTAAGTTGAAGACATCGGACCCCTTACACTCAGCAGCGTGGGTGTTTATCTTCCGAGAATTCAGCTATTCTCTGCGTAAGCGTAGCCGGAAATCAGGTGCTTTAAGGTGATCAAGCACTGCTGCCTAACATGCAGCTTAAGGCCGTGTTTCCCCGATTGTCACATCCACATCCTGGTCACACGTCTTCCCTCCAGTCCGAGTCCGGTCGTGCCGTTATCTGACACCCCCTTTCCTCCCCGTTAACAGCTGCCTCTCAGCTTTTTTTGTGTCTCACAGCAGACGAGCCTGTGTTGTCTTCCAACAGCTTACCAGTTAGCCTTTTACACGTCAGCCTCACCTCCCTGGGTTGGTTTCCAGGCGGCATGAGGTCACCTCTGTTCCCATCAACTGAGTAGTCTCTCTGCTCCGGCCCGCGCCAGTTCTGTTATCAGCTGTTTAGTTTTCAGTCTGCTTTTCTGGCTCTCTCCTGCTCCATTGTCCTTTTTTTCTGTCTCCAGGCAGTCACCATCTGTAGTTTCCAACAAGTCAGGACACTGGCGGCCTCCCTCCATGGGTCGTTCTTCACAAGTGTGGTGTCTGGCTTGCTCTGTGTTGCATTTCTAGAGTCGGCTTCTTAGTATTGTTACACACTCTCACACACTCAGGCCGTGGGGCTTTGAATCTTCATGTGTAAATATTTTTAGAGCTATAATTTCTTATTATAAAGTTTCAAATTTTTTTCAAGAAAAGAACTGGCAGGTGTTCCTGAGGGAAAGTGCTGAGTCTAGTTCCAGCAATCTGCACGGGGAAGGACCACACAGTACCACCCGCCAGCCCACACTTGGAACCAGCTTTCTCAAGTGTAGCAAGGACCCTCGTCAGGATGCAGGTCTCCCAGAGCCGCCTTCCCACGGCGGGTGGTTTCCAGCGCCACCACGTCCAGGCACCCCTCCTCGTGACATCCGTTTGCTCTTCAGGACATCTCTGTCTGAATCTCTGCCGGCTATGTTGGGAATGTTCGGAGATGCAGTGAAAGTTTGTGTACTCAAAAAGTCAGGCTGTTCTTCCAGGAAGATATTGGTCAGGACTTGTTCTGTGGGGCTGTGCTTGTACTTTGTGTTTTGGCTGGGGGATTGAAGCACGGCTCTCTGTAAGGTGCTGGCTTTAAAGCAACCACCTGGCGAGACCCTCCCATTCTAGGCATCCTTGGAAATCCTGTTAGTTTCCCTCTTTCAGTCCTTTTCTTCCCATTTCTTTTATTGCTGGCTCCACTTCCTGCGAGTATCTCTCAAGTGCTGTGCCACATTAGCCAAGACGCAGTTTGTTGGCACCTTCCTGGTGAGGCGAGGCAGAGCCCTTCTCATGCCCTGGACCCACTGGGCCCTCGCTGCTGCCCTGCTGAGGCAGAGCTGACTCTTGAGTTACTGTTCTCCATGGGGCTTCCTCACATCTCCAGTGTCCTGGAGTGGGGTTTTGCTCTCTAGAGCAGCCTTCTGCCCCTTGCACACTTTTCCGATAATTATTTTAGTTTTATTTCATTCTTTCCAGAACTTGCAGTGTTTTCCTTTGATTCTGAGAGGCTTATCAACAGGTCTAACAAGTATTCCTCATTTTTTCCTCTTTGCTTTGCCTACAGCCATTCCTTTTTTTATTTCCCCATCTTCCAGCTACGTCTCCATCTGTTGTAACCTTTTCTTCCCAACTCTGCCAGTGCGCTCCAGTCTGAGAACATGCTCCCATCCCTCTGCCAATGCTGCTCCCAGATGCTGTCAGATCTCAGACAATTTTCTAGTTGGGGAGAATCATTCTCAATCTTCTGATGCATTAAGCATCTATTTGTAGTTCTGTTTCCATGTTTGTCCTTGAGGCTGTGTGCAGAGGTTGCTTCTCCCGTGCGCAGCTCACTGGGAGGCAGTGTGTCACGACTCCTGTGTCTCCCTTGATGCGCTTCCTGGGCGGCTCTGCTCTCGTCTTCACTCTGCAGGATGGGTTCTCTTTTCTAGCGGTGTCAGCCCCTGCTCCAGCCCTGTGGCTTGCCCAGGGGCCCCAGAGAGCAGCAGGCCTTCTTTCATTGGGTTTGAGCTCCTCACATTGTGCAGCTATGACTCCAGCAAGACCACCTCCAGGCTTTCATAAGCAGTCAGAAGTCACTTTCCATTGCTGCTTAGTTCACGCTCTCACGCGTGGCTCCTGCTGGGCACCCTGTTGGTAATCGTTTCCCGTGTCATTCTCTCCTTTAAGAATCACTAGTTTTCATCTAGAAACCATGGTGTTTGAAGAGCGGTTCAGTGCTTTTAGCATGTCAGCACCTGTGGGTGCTTTTAGCATGTCAGCACCTGTGCCCAGCACCTGCTGGGCGCTGCGTGTCTCTCTCCCACTGTTACCCAAGAGCTTTCTTGGGCCTCGAGGTGAAGAGCCCAGATATTCTAGGTGCAGCCAGGTGCTGTTCTTTCATGGGTGGTTTGGCAGTTTCTTCTCCCCTTCCAGGGGAATTTCCCTGCGTTCATGGAGTTCTTGATAGGTGCTGTCTGCAAGGAGTAACTCAAACCTCATGGAATTTTCCCCAAGTGAGAGTGAACATTTCGGTCTGCCAGTGTGTCTAGAAGATGATCCCTTTCTTGGAGCAGTCGGCCATTAATTGTTCTGAACATGACGAAAGGAGTTCTGACCAAGGAGGGGCCCGCTCTGCGCCCCTTCCGGGGCCTTTGCCTCACTGACCTCATTCTGAGCATCCTTCGTGTGTTTGAAGAAATGGGACAAGGAAGGATTCCCAGCTCACCTGTGGGGGGCCTGCCAGACAAGCCTGCCCCCAGGCCACAGTTACATGCCTGCCTGGGTGTCAGATCCTGGGCAAGGCCAGACTACCTTTCCCTCCTGCGGTTTTTTTTTTTTTTAAGATTTTTATTTATGCATACAGAACTGGGGTACAGGGGTGCACAGAGGTGCAGGGGTGATGAGAGGATTCACCAGAGACAGAGTGGGGAGCAGAGCAGGCAGATCAACAAGGTATACTGCTGAGGGGAGCAGCGGGTGGGTCAGGAGAGGTCGGGCGGGTCAGGAGAGGTCTGCCGTGCCATGAGGTCACCTCCAGGGCAGGCAGGGCTCAAACTCATGCAGAAGTGGCTTTCGATTCTTAGTGCTGCACTTTAACCCGCTGCGCCACCACCTCCTGCCATTTTTAAGTCTTTTGTTCCTTAGTAAATATCTTTACACATGAACCTATTACATTGTCACTCTGTGTTGATGATAACTGCAGTGTCTGAAGACTTGGTAAGTGTGACTTACGTAGCTGCTGATTCTGTGTCTTTCATAATGCTGTTATTTGAGACTTTTGGGCTTCTTGATTGATCGGTTTTGTAAGAATGGGACTTGAGCCATGACTTGAGAGTCCCTTCATCCAAGAAAGATACATACCTGCCTCTACCACATGCTTGGGTCACCAGCAAGCCTTAGCAGATTTTCTTTCTTTCTGACAGACCTGTATTCTTAAACACACAGCAGGCTACAAAACACTTGACATTACAGCTGTCAGAGGCAACAGATTTTACGGCAGGGAGTCCACGGTAGAAGCCAGGATCGCCTTTGCTCAGGTGCAAGGAACCGCTCATCGCTTTCTTACTCTACCTTTGTGTTAGAGGCTCTTCCTTCTCCTGTTTTCTGCTGGAAGGCCTCTTCCTCCCCCCGTCTCTCCCCTCCATGGCCTGCTTCTTGGACTATTTTGGGGCTTCTTTGCGCTATCTGCCACCCTGACCCTGACCCTGGACGGCTCTAGACTAAGATCTTGGCTCAGTGTTGTCCAGCCGCAGGGCTAGTGTAAAACTCACACGAGGGTTCTGACTCCAGTGCTGAGAGCAGGTGACTTCCACCTTCTGGTGTCCAGGTCAAATCAAGTCTGTTCCTCATGGGCCTTCATTGTGGAATAGAGTTTCTCCTAGGTCGTGTTTATATTGAGAGTGTGGAGCCATTTGGGGTTCCTGGCCTCTTGCTGGGTTCTGTCATCATGATAGAATCGGATAAGCCTTTGGTCTTTGTCCCAGCACCTGACGTTGAGCGCCTCAGAACCTCCTGAGTGATGGAGTATTTCCCGTTATTCACAACAAACCCTTTAAAGCAGCCTAAGTTGATGCTAGTGAAATGACTCTTGGGGGGGCACCAAGATACCTGCAGGGTGGGGACTGATCAGGGGAACCTGAGCTGGGGAAAGAGATGGGGTGCTGGAGATAACTACTCGGGCTGCATAATGAAACTTTGACAAAAACGGAAACAGTGAGACTCAGGAGTGCCCAGGTCTGTGAACACAGACTCCCGGACTCCTGGGGAGCACAAGCTCAGGGAGCACCCAGGCCCCGCTTTTGCAGGAAGGCTGACCGTCCGGACTCCTGGGGAGCACAGGCTTGAGCTCTGACCTTCCCGAACTCGCCCTCTTGCCTCTTCGCCTGGCTGTCGGTGTCTTTTGTAGTAAATAGTAAGCCTAAGTTCCTGAGTGCCTTGAGTTGTTCACAAGTATTCAAACTGAAATTATATTTTGGGAGCACTAGACTTGTAGGGTCCAGCCCACCTGCAGCTTGTGTCTGAAACGGAGGCCATCTGGGGACTCGGGGAAGGCAATGCCGCAGTTGGCTTGCCGGGCAGCGGGCAGTGTCTCCTACAGATCAGTGAACTGCTGCGCTGAAGAAGCCGGCCGTGGCCAGCCGTGGCCAGGCCCGCCTGTCTCCGTCCTGGGGAGGGGAGGCGAGGCAGGGGAGTGGCTCTTGTGGCAGCAGACTGGGCAGCAGGAGGCACAGGCTCAGCTTCCTCCCTCTCTCCCGCTTCACTTGTTCTCTGAGGACTGGTCTTGGGGCCCCTTGCTGGCTTGGCGTATGCTTAAGAACACATTTTCGTTTCCTCTTGTTCTCCCTTACCTAGCACTGGGGACAGTTTTATAGCAGGATGGCAGTGTCTGGCCCACCCTATTCATCCACTGTTTCTTGATCATTTATTTATGCTTCATATCAATTGTCTGTTTTTACTTCGGCTTAAAGTATTTGTGGTTTTGCAAGATGATACGAGAAGAGTCAGTCAATAAAAATACTCCATCGGGGTAACATGACAAGATCCCAATAACTGGACAGAGTGGAGCGAGCACTGGGTGACCAGGGCAGGAGAACGGTGTTAGCAAGTCCGCATGGATGGCCGGGGCTTCATCAGAACAACTCAAGTGAACAATGTTATGTTGGCTGGAGGCCAGGATTTGTTTGTTAATTGTTTTTTAAGTGACAAAGATTTACAACACTGCCTCTCGGGTACATGTGCACACTTCTTAAGCTGTATGTTCTCATATCGCACCTACCACCTAAGTTCCAGCAGCCTTCGACTGTCGTCAGTCACTGAACTCCCTGGCCCCTTTGCTCCCACGCATGAGCAAAATCATCCTGCATTTGTCTTTTCTCCTTCCGACTTACTTCCCTTAACATAATTTGTCAAAAATGGCAAAATTTCATCCTTGGCATTCCACCACACTTATGTGCCAGTTTCCGAACCTGCTCTCTGGCCTTGGGCCCCCGGCTACCGCCTCGGCCCGGCTGCTGGCAGGGCTGCAGGGAACACAGGAGCGCAGCTCCCCGCTGCGTCAGTGTTTTGCACTCTGAATAGACACCTGCGAGGGGAATTGCTGACTCATGTAGTACATCTGCGTTTAGTATTTTGAGGAACCTCCATACTGTTTTTCATGGGGGCTGGGACCCGTCTACATTCCCACCAGCAGTGTCAAGGGCTCTGTGCTCTCCACACCCTCACCAGTACTTGCTTCTGGCCAGAAATTATCAGCTCGTTATCCTTTTGAACTGAACGGTAAGGAAAACATACCAAAACTTATGGGATGATGCTCATACACTTCCTGGGAAAATACTGGCGGGCAGTATGTGTACACACAGATAAACACAACACCAGTATACATATTGTGCTGGAAATTTTGCTTAATCTCACTGTCCCAACTTTCTGATATTGCTGGGGATTAGCTTGCCCACAATTGTCAGCCAGAGCTGGAATTCAGAGCCAGTCCTGCCTCAGCCCAAAGCGTATACAGATACTGTGATGTGCTTATTGTTTTTTGAGTCTTAAAATCTCCCTAGCACCAGCATTCCTTTTGCTTTGGTATCTTTGAAGAGATTAGTGCTAGAAACTTAAAATATGTTTACCCTTATAGGAGGAAAAAAGTGAGCCAGACGAGAATTTGAAAGACCTTCAAAATGAAGAAGAGACTGATGATCCATTGACAATTATAAAAGCAATCTTGCTGCAGGTATGTAGAGAGTGTGGGTATATTTGTGTGTCAGATGAGTAGGGGTGTGTGTGTGAGAGAGTGATTTTGTGGGTAGTGCTAGTACTGTTAACTGTCAGTCCTCTTTCTTAAAATATTCTCCATGTCTACTTTTAAAATTTTTATTACAAATTTTCTGGTAAGAAATATATGTGCATGGTGTATGGTTTGAGAGAGGAAAAAACCCTAGATAATCTATGAGGAAAAAAATGTAAGTAAGCCAAGGATCCAGTCATTACTAACACTTTAAAATATATTTTTTGTAATATTTTCTTGTGTGTTTGAACTGGACTGTGATTGGGGGGCCGGGGGGATATCATTGTCATTTCAAAGAGACTTGGCGTTGACTTTACACTTTGTTAGAATTCACTGTTTTTCATGTGACCCTCTCGCATGTGCTCCCCTAAAGTTATGTCCCCCTCTCATTTCTGATGTTGGTGATGCCTCAAGCATTTGCTCAGCTGTAAGGGTGGCAGGTGTCCTTTCATTTACTCCTTCCTTCCTGAACACTTCCTGTAGGACTCACCTAAGTCCCTGAGCTGTCCCGACCTGGCCCTGGCTTAGCTTGGTAGGCTCCCATCGAGCTCTAACACAGACTGGAGCTTACTCCACACCGCCTCTGTCCTGACAGTTCTGGAGGCGGGGCGCCCACTATCAGGAGGGGTGGGTTTCCCCTGAGGCCACCCTCCCTGCCTTGCAGATGCTGCCTCCTCACTGTCCATTCACGGCCTCTGTGAGTGCAAGTCCCATGTCTGCTGTGCGTCCAGATGTCCTCCTGTCATAAGGACACAGTCAGCTTGGACGAGTCTTCATCTACATTTAAAATTTCTCTTCTTTTGAAGTAGCTGTGTGAATACACATGTGGTTACCCAGCATCCTGCTGGCCCGCCCAGCTCATAGCGTCACAGCTAAATTGCATCCCATTTCCTTACCTTTGTGTGTATCTTTCCTAAGGAGGAGAGTAATCTAATTCTCGTTGATCAACTGGGCCAGAAACTCTTGAAAAAGATAGGAATATCTTGGAACAAGAAATACAGAAAGCAGTATGGACCGCTGCGAAAGGTAACGCTGGCGTCTTTACCGGAAGCCCTGTCCCAGGAAATCTTAGTTATGATCCCATCACTGTGCGCCCCTAAAAGTGAAATCAGAATTTTTATGCAATAGTTAGGATTCAGTTACATACTTACTAAATATTGAGTAATTTGTCAAGGAATCAAGAAGTAAGTAAGTAGAAAAAAAGAGTGGATGGGCCTTTTAATAAGAACATCAGAGAATGTCACAAAGTTCACACCCTGAAGCCTTTCACTTCCTTAACGTCATCAGGTGTTCACCTGAATATCACTTGGGCTTTCTTCCACACAGGTCTAGTCCACTTCCTCACCTGTGGTGAGATGTGCAAACTGCTGCCAAAAATGAGATAACAGGTCTACTGCAACTAGCAAACACTTAGGGTGCATCCAGGCTCTTTCTGTGGGGGCAGAAGGCTTACCTACTTCATGGGGTGTTTCTGTGCGTCCCTAACTTAGACCAGGTTCACAAGGCAGTGTCGGCCCAGAGACCCTGAGGCCATCGACTCGAATGGGTCTTCACTGTGAGGGGTTGACTCAGTGTTTCAGTATTTCAAGTGTGCCAAAATTAGCCGTGAAGGTTTTTAAAAATACACATAACCCTGTATTGGCTTGAGGAATTTAACTTGTATCAGTTTTTTCTTGGCTGACTGATAGAGATTGAATTTGATTAGATGTTTGGCATTTTCCATTAATGTGGTGAATTCTATTGAGTGACCTTTCTAGCTATAACCCAATCTTACATTTCTGGAGTCAGCAACTCTTAGTCATGGTGGGTCTCTGGGTGTTGCTGAATTCAGTTGTTCGCTCACATGTTTATTAAGGATTTTTGTGTTGAGAGTTACCACTCTTTAATTTCTCTCTCTCTCTTTTTTTTTTTTTTTTTTGTGATGTCCTCGACAGATTTTAGTGTCAGGATTATATAAGACTCATAAAACAACTAGGGAAATAATCCCTTTTTTATATTCTTGGAAGGAATTTCTTTAAGTTGATTATTACTGCTTTTTAAAATGTTTGATTAAACTGTTTAGACCTAGAAGTTTTGTGATAAGACTTTTAAATTATGGTGTTAATATCTCTAACTATAGGGTTATGTAGATTTTCTGTCACTTCTTGCATTGTTTTAAGAAATTATATTTTTTAAGGATTTTTCCCTTTTATGATATCAAATTTATGGACATAAAGTGGTTCAGGTCTTCAACGTCAAGCATTTTCTTTTCCATTTGCTCTTCTGCCCCATTATCTCTTCTTTCTAGGACTCCAGTTAAATGTATGATATCTCCTCACATGTCTTGGGTGCTCTGAAGCCCACCCCCCACCCCCACGACTCCTCACTACCACCTGCTTCAGTTTGGTACTTTCCATCCACCCACTTCCAGGACCTTTGCCTGTCTTCTGCTGGATCCAGTCTATTAAACTCAGTCAGTGACCTTTTTGTTTCAGTCATCAGCTATATTAGTTCCACTTAGTTGTTTATTTAATTGTCCATTTCTCTGCTGAAATTCCCCATCTGAGCCTAATCTGTCCATCCTTTTCCTATAAGTTAACAGATTTATAAAGCTATTTCCTGGATTATTTTTGGGTCTGTTTCTATTAACATTTCTACTTTTTCCTTGAATATTGACTCTTATCTCTTGATTGTAAATTTCATTGTCCTTTTGATTTTCACGTCATTACATTGCCTACTACACCCTGGGGATGATGTGTAGACAGTAGATTATTTTTTGTCCTAAACAGTGTTGCATTATATTCTAACAGACCATTAAACAACTTGGAAGTTATCTTGGTGCTGTGGAAGCTTCCTTTTCGGGCTTTGCGTGGGTGGGCCTATTGTCCGTCCCAGGGGGTTCTTGTTCCCAGAGCTCCCGTGGGCTGTCCTGAGGGCAGAGTTGAGCAGATTATTGTCTGTGGGCAAACATGACCTACTGCCTGTTTTTGAACAGCCATGCTAAAAATGTCTTTACTTTTTTTCTTTCTGGTGGAAGGTATTTTATTAAAGCCAAATCACTGTAACAGTTACATTTTTAAAAGATTATTCTTCATAAAATTATCAATTTCCATTGGAGTATATTTATGAGACAAGAGAGTATTTCTAAACCCCCTTTTTTTTTTTTTTTTGGCCTCTATACCCAACATTAATCATGCAAAGCTCAAGTTTCCCTCCAAGGGTTCTTGTTTCAAATCTTGCCATTTAATTCTCTGAGAAATTTATTTGAGGTGTGGTCAAAACATTTAAAGTAATTGCATTTCCTTTTGCATCAGTTAGAGAAAATTCATACGGTGAATAAATGCCAAATTTGAACTTTCTGATTTTTAAAAAACATTATTCGAAGTTAATATGGGCTTAAAATTGAAAATGGTTATTTTCTTTAAATTGTATATTTATACTTGCATGTCCTCTAGTCTGTCTCCTAGTCCACAAAGCTGAAAATTTTTATTACTCGTACATTTTAAGGAAAAGTATGCCCGACTTCGGCCTCAGACACGGCCTTTGGAGGATATTGGTGGAAGCCCAGGGTGTTTGTGCGCCCGGGGTGTTTGTCACAGTCCCTGGCAGTCTTGAGCCGTGTGCTCTTTCTCCCCGGGTGCAGGCTGCTAAATCTGCTCAGATCTTGAACCTCCCGCCTTTGCTTTCTGCTGGCTTCCTTGGCTCTGGGGCTGTTTTCTGTGTACCTTTCAAGAGCCAGCCCAAGGATGGAGAGGGATTGGATGCACATTTGGGGCACTGTTACAGTATTTTCTCTCTGCAGACTTCGGGGAGATTCTCGGATTCTGTCTCCACAGCCCAGCTAGTCTCCTGCCCATGCTGGAGCTCTCCCCACTCACTCCTGCCTACTTGGGCTGGGGGATGGGTACGTGATTTATGTCACTGGCCTCCTTCCTCCCCTTCTAGGCTTGCCTTTGGCTACTTTCCAGCAGTTATTTTCATTATTTTGTCTGGAATTCATCATTTTTATCAGGATGGTTTTGTCAGGAAGATCAGTCTAGTAAACATTTTCTACTATTATGAGAACCAGAATGCACTGAAGTTTGAGGTTTTAGAGGGTTAATCCACAGCTGTGAAGCAAAGGGAAAATTGTCTACACAAAACTTTACTACTCAGAAATTTCATTGTTGTTATTTTATTGTGCCTATAATAAATTAAGCACAAAGTCCACTTTTATATACACTGTTAACAGTAATGTCTTTGTAACATATGTTCTTTGCCCTTATGTTTTTGATAACACTTTTGATTAGAAAGTTGGCCACAGTTTAATTCTTTCTAAGGGAAAGAAAATCTTTTTTCTCATTTGGTGGATGGGTTTAAGCCAATGTTACGTTTAGTTCCCAAGTGATTTTCTGTGTACAGTATAGTTACACGGCAGCAAAAGAGAGGGGTGCACAGGACCACGTGACGCTAAGAGAGGAGAGAGGAGCCGGAAGGGAGAGGGTAGACAAGCCCACCTTCTGCTTCTGGGAAAACTTAAGGACTAGGCTGCAGGAGCATGACGAGGCTTTTTGTGTTGAGAGTCCCGAGCGCGCGTCTGCTCCCGGGAGAGAGCGTTCAGCTTAGGTGGTGTCCGTCGTGTTATTTGGGCTCGTGACTAGTACTTTATTCCAGCAGACTGAGCTGGGACACTGGTCCTCACAGGGTCTTCTGCGGTGCCTCTCTGTGCAACTGCCTTTGTTCACACTATGCAACGGTTATTTTTCAACATCCCAAAAGTGCTTATTCCACCCAATCTGTCTCATCAGAGTTGAAACCTTTAAAAAAGTGTCACTGAGGTATAATAACTGTATTTTTATTTCTCTATGCATTTGTTTTAGATTGTGGCATGGCAACTTCCTTAATATAGCTATTAGGCTATTTAACAACACACTATAATTTTTACTAAATGCTTCAATATGGCCCAAGAGGATTTTCTTTCCCTCCTAGGTGACCAGGCCAAAATTAAAGATGATATTGAAAAATAGCTAATCGAAGAAAGGAACAAAAATTTCTTTTTTTTTTTTAATCATGACTAATTTTAAAAATTTTATTAACCTGTTATTTTTTGTTTCTTTCTTCCTTTATAGTTCTTACAGCTTCATTCTCAGGTATTTCTGCTCAGTTCAGATGAAAATACAGTTAGTCTCCTGAAGACCCGTCCTCTCCAGGCTGAATCTGATAGCCAGAGGAACAGCAGTCAGCGGGCTTCCAAGACACTCCGTTCAGAGTCCCAAAGAGTGGATGATCAAACCCCCTGCCCCCACTGGTTTGATATAAATGATTCCAAAGTCCAGCCAATCAAGGAGGAGGATATTGAACAGCAATTTCAGGGTAAAGAAAGTGCCTACATGTTGTTTTACCGGAAATCTCAGTTGCAGAGACCCCCTGAAGGTACGGACAGAGAATGACCCTGTGTGTTTAAGTTAATGGCTTCAGAAGGTGACTATTGAATGCTGTTTTGAATTCTTATCCTTTTAAAAGATTTTTTCTTGAGCCATTTTAGAAAATTTTTTTTTAAAGATTTATTGATTTGTGCATACAGAACTGGGGTACAGGCCAAGGTGCAGGGGCGGCGAGAGGATTCATCAGAGACAGGGGGGGGAGCAGAACAGGCACATCGATGAAGTATATTTAAAGAGCATTGAAGCAGTAGAATTTTTCCACATTGGTTTACAGAATTGGCTATCTTTCATTTGTTCTATTGTTCTGTTTTTCACATGGGAAAACTGATATTCAGAGAAAGTTAGCATTCACACAGATAGTAGTTTTCCAGACTCTGGCACAGTCCTTCCTGGTTTTCGTTGCTGCCTTCTAAGCCAGATTTCATTGAATGTGGTTTTGTTTACAGCTCAAGGCAACCCAAGATACAGGGTCCCGTGTCACTTGCTGAGTGAAATGGATGCAGCCAACATTGAACTACAAGCAAAAAGGCAATTATCACTTCCTGTTAGAGTTTGGGTGGTTTTTCTGGAGAATGAAGATTTAATGCAGGTCTTAAGTATTTAATCATAAAAATTAAAAAGACAAAGCTGAGCATGCAATGCCGGTGTCTGCTTAGCTGCTGCTGAATCAGAGTGAGTTGCCCTGCCTGTGGGGGTGAAGGGGCAGCGGCCATGCCGGGATAGGGTGGGGCCTGAGAAGGGCACGGGGCCTGGTGCGCACGCGGCTGCACTGGTGGCTGTGTCCTGGGTGAAGCCAGCCCGCCGTGTGTTAGGTGGAGTGGAAACTAATGTGCTAACAGGCTAGAGGTGGCAAAGGAAGAAACCACAGGTTCTGTAAACTCTTAGGCTTAATGTCAATATGGCACGACCATAAAGACCCTTCAGGAGATGGTTTGTGAGAATATAAGTCTCGTTCTCCTCTTGGGAGGCCTAAGCTCAGAGCTGACCAGATTGGTGCGGCTTGGGGCTAGGAATGGACATGCCCGAGACCTCCTGTGGACTGACCATATGGCAGTGAGGTGTTCAGCCTTTCTGTCATTGACTGGGAGCGAGGAGAAGAGGTGGCAGGTAAGTTGAATGGCAAGCCAAGAGCAGGGGAAATCTCAACAAAAATTAAGACTCTAGAAAGAGAAAAATTTAACAGTGAAATATTTTAAGTGAAGAATAACCTGCATGAGTGACCTAGATGAGAAGTTGGCATTTAAAAAAGTACAGCCCAAGAGGTTTGTCAGCCTGCAGAAGCTCTTTCATGTGGTCAGTGAAACAGCGCCGCCCTCCCCTCACGCGCCCCCCATCCCCCCCGCAGCAGAGCCGGGGCCTAGCCTTGAGGCAGCTGCTAGGATTCAGAGCAGCAGCCAGTGCCTGGCTGCTGAGCACGTGTACGCGGGAGAGGGGCTCGGGCAGTTGGCAGTGGCAGGAGAGGCTAAGGTGAAGCCCGCTTAGAGGCCACTTCCAGCAGTCTGCCCTGGTGCCTCAGAGGCTCGGGAGACTCGCGCCTCGCTTGTTCAGGGTCCTGCATAGTATGTATCGGAACAGTTTGTCCTTGAGATTCAGCAGCAGAATTGAATTTTCGCTGTTCAGTGGGAAGCTAAAAGGAGTCCATTTGAAGCACAGAAGAAAAGGGTGTTAGTTGCAGCTACTTAGCTGGAATAGGGTTGTTGGTGGCATACATCAAATATTGGGGGTTTGTGATGTAACATGGTCTCAGGAAAAACAGCCTTGATGTAATTTTTCTGTTCATCTTTAAAGGGCAGAATATGATTCTACAAACAATAATTTTGAATTGCATCTCCACTTGGGTCCTCATTATCATTTCTTCAACGGGGCCCTGCACCCTGTAGTCTCTCAGACAGAAAGCATGTGGGATTTGACCTTTGATAAAAGAAAAACTTTAGGAGATCTTCGGCAGTCAATATTTCAGGTAAATTAGCCTTGCTTCCTCTCAATTTGGGCTCAAGACCCCTCTCCAGTTGCGTTCTCCTTTCTGAAAATCCTGTTTAGGAGACAACTATTTATTTGTCAAGCCACGGAGGGCGGCCTGGTGTCTTCTTGCGGGTAACACACACCTCAGGCAGGCCCCGCCCTCATGGGTCCTCAGGTGGACTCAAGCCTGATGGTGTTTTGTTTTGCAGGAATAAAGAGTAGAGGTTGGGGAAACAAATGAAAGAGAATCTTTCTTTAAAAGGAGTGAAAAGATGAAGATCAGCACATTGCTTAAAACCAAAAACAAAAGAAACGATTCACATTCTGTCTCCAGCAAGAGAGAGCTTTTGTCACCGGGGTTCCCAAGTTAGGGTGAAAACACCACTGTGTGCCGGCCGGTTGTAGTGGCCCTCGGCGCTTACAGGGCTTTTACATGCTCACACCTTCTGGTTGGGAGCCCCAGGAAGCCCTGCTCACCCCATTTCAAAGATGCCACCCGTGATCTGCCGGGCCTTAAGTCCAGTTGTGGGACAAGCAGGCGCCAGCCCTGGCCTCCCGCGCCCCGTCCTCTGTCTCCTCTAGCTGCTTCTGCTCGAGGAAAGGACTCTAGGAAGGGGAAGGTTTGTTGTTCTTTTGGAAAAAATATGTTTTCTGAAAAGCTATTAATTACCAAAATTATAAGCTGTCTTTTAAATTTCCTCTTGTTAAAAAAAAAGGCCAATTTCTTTTTTTATCTTTGGTGGAGTTGAATGATTTTTAAATATTGAATCAGTATCAGGATTTTTAAATTTATGTTATGTTTTGAACTTTGCATTAAAGACTCACTTCTGAGCCAGCCCTGGCGGTGCTGGTCTGCGAGTTGGAGTGGGCCCTCTCTGGGCCGACGTTCCAAACGGAAAGGAGCTGCCTCGCCTCCCACTCCAGAGGCGCTGCGGGCTGCTTTTTGGTTGTTTTAGTGCACATCTCTGTTCTCATAGAAGTACGCCCGCGGCAAGCTGCTGGGAGATTGAACAATTGACTCCTGTTTATAAGTTAGAAATTTCTTTTTCAGTCTAATGCTCTCCCAACTCAGCTATTTTGGCGCCCTCAGAAATTTCTTTTTAAGGAGAATTATTTTATTGTATCATAGTGTGGAAAGCAACTCAGGGGATGCTATTTTGCGTGGTCACTGCATCAGTGGGAACCCCACTTTCCACTACAGTGCGTGCTTCCCTTAAAGTAACAGGAATCAGGGTGTGTTGGAGCAGGAGGGCTGTTTGTGCCCCCCCACCGGGTGCCAGGGCCCCTCGCGCAGTGGAGGGGCTGCTTAGTGGGCGTCGTGCTCTTGCCTGGGCCGGAGTCCTCAGTCACGGGTGCACCGGCCCTCCCCGGGGCTGGCTGGCTGAGCACGTGTGTCTCAGTGCCACGTTTCTGGTGTTGGGAGGTGCAGGGTGCTCGTGGGCCTTTTCCTGCGCCAGCTGTGTGTGCAGCACGCCCAGGCGTCACCCAGCCTGGAAATGGGGTGGGTGACTTGTCTGGTTCTCTGCTTTCATTCACATTGCAGCTGTTAGAGTTCTGGGAAGGAGACATGGTGCTCAGTGTCGCCAAGTTCGTGCCAGCAGGACTTCATGTTTACCAGACACTCGATGGTAAGAAGATCCCCAGACACAGCAGCTCATTTTATAGTTTTAGATTTTGTGGGGCTCATCTGAGCTTGTCTGCGCTTGGCCGGCTTTTACCTACAGCCGCTACTTGCCGCGACTTTCTCCAATGTGAAGACTGCGATCCGCTTTCACATCATTCACCCAGTTTTCTTATTTTAAAGGACACAAAATGTTTTGTATTCAGAAATTAGCACTGCCTCCTTACCAGAACAATTTTTTTTTTAGAATTTGGACTTTCTTTTTGTATCACCACGGTTATCTGGGTAAAATGGTTGCTCGAAAAATGAATGACTCAGCTTTAGTCTTTGTAGCAAAACAAAGGTAGTGTGAGAGCTTAAAAGGCCTTTACAGCAAGGCAGCATAGTAGTGGCGTCTGTTCCAGCCTGGGCCAAGTACTGCACTAGGTGTTTTATGTAAATGACCTCATTTGATTCTCACAAATGCTTTTATCCCTGTGGCATAACGAGGGAACTGGAGCAGCTCCTGAAGGGCCAGGCGGCTCGGCTGCCCTGCTCAGTGTTGGGCATGGTGGCCTTTGTGTGACTGCACGGGCAAGCATGTTAAATGGGGAGGCCAGAAGCTACAGCATGATAGCGGAATAAGGAAAATGAAGGTCAAATCAGACATAGCCACTGCCACGCCTTCCCACCTTAGGAGGCTGCTTCCAGGCAGAAAGTACTACCGCTTTATTTCAGTCGCTGTTCACGATCATGGTGCTGGTCTCCTTGATACTCTCATCTTCCTAGGAGATGACCTGACACTGTGTGAAATCAAAATTGCTGATGGGGAAGACATCTTTGTATGGAATGGAGTGGAGGTAAGAAAGGATTGACAGTGTAGTCATGATAGTTCGGACTTTCTGTTGTTGCTACGAACTTTGTAGCATCTGGGTGGAAGCAGTGAGGGCTTAGAAAACTGCGGGCATGACCAGTGGTGGGCATGGTCGGTGCATCTCCTGTGGAGCAGCTGTTTACCTGGCACCATCATGCCAGGCTGTGTGCCCGGTGGAGGTGCCAAGGCAAGTCCGTCAGTTGTGCCCTTAGGCGTGTGCTGGACTAAGTGCCGAGGGGCCGTGCTGCCAGTCCCCTCTCATGAGTCCCTTGGAGGGGACGTGTGGCCTCTTCCTACATCAAGAAAGGGGCAAGGAGCATCCAAGCCGCTCAGTGGACTGTCCTTGGGTCATCTGTGTGTCCAGGGCCTCTTTGCCACCACTGGGGACTCACATCTCTGGAGAGCTACCTGAGAGTCTCCAGACAAACATCTGATGTTGCCCTGATAAAGGGATTCCTGAGAACTTTCACATGAGGGAAGACCATGACACTTGCTCTCTGGAGTAGCCTTTTACTTTATGTTGACTTGACCTTAGCAAGTGTAAAGTGTAGCAATGGTTGTCTGGGTGCCGTTGTAGGTTGGCGGAGTCCAGATTTCAACTGGAAGTGACTGTGAACCTCTGCTGCTGAACGTGCTTCATGTGACCACAAGCACAGATGGGGAACACTGTCAGCAGCTGATGGAATCGCCCCACGTCTTCCCGTCTAACGCTGAAGTGGGCGCTGTGTTCACAGCTTTCGCCATCCCGGCGGGAGCGGTCTTCATCAACAACACCGAGTCGGCGGGAGAGGAGAACTGGGCCGCCGTTCCCCAGGAGGACTTGAAGAAGACATTCAGAGAACAAGGAGTCAGAAACGGAAGCTCGCTTCTAATTCAGGATGCAAGTCATAGTGACAGCAGGTAACTCACTGGAAGGGGTTTCTTTTTAAAGTTATTTTAACGTTAAGACTTTGTCATTGTGTAGAGTAAAAAAAAATGTTCTAGGTTAGGCAGCTTGGAGAAGAAAGTTTTATGATGGGACTTGACACAGTAAACTAGACATACTCTAGATTACTGACTATAAAGAAGAGCCCTATCAAATGAACTCCTATAGTCCTCATGCTAAAACTGAAGGCACTTTCTTACAAAGAAAATTCTGGAGAAAGGCATTAAAATCATCTCTAAATTTGTCTTAACATTTGGTTACAATAAAGCCCATAAAGCTCCTCGTTTTCATCAGAATCCATTTTCCACCTCTGGGAGCCTCCCGTGCGGCCCGGATAAGACCTTCCTCCTGAGGAGAGGCGCCTGAGTTCCAGATGTCACCTGGGGCTCAGAAGTGCTGCCTGACTCCGGCCTGTTGTCCTTGTTAGTAGGACATTTCCGCAGCTGTTGAGTCATGCACGGTACGCCTCAGACTTCCATCGTGAAGACTCTGGTTACTGTGTGATCCAGTTTCCCGCCTTATCAGTGCTGTGAGCAGACTCTTACTGTGTAAGGTGGTTAGAGGCAGCACTCTGAAATGACTGATTTAAGCTCTGCATATCATTGTCATTTCTGAGAGCTGCTTTCCAGACATTCATTCTGCCCCTGACTATTTAATATTGTCATCTATTCCTTTAGTAAGAGTGTGATGCATTATTTAAAAAAAAAAAGATTCATTTATGCATACAGAACTAGGGAAAGGCCAGAGGTGCAGGGGGTGAGAGGATTCACCAGAGACAAGGTGGGGAGCAGAACAGCAGGCTGATGAAGTACACTGCTGAGGGGAACCAGCAGGCAGGTCAGGAGAGGTCTGCCCATGTGGGTCACTCCTTGGCAGTGCTGCACTTTAAGCCGTTGCGCCGCCAGGGAGGATCCTGTGATGCATTCTTCAGCCTTGGGAAGTTTACAGTGAAGACAGGAGACCAGTTCCTCTGGCCCTGCCAATATTGAGCTCTGTTAACCTTCCTGTTTTTCTGAACTTTTTTTGTTTTGAAAGTTCTTTGTTTTTAAACAAAATAATGGTTTTTTTGAGGCTAGTGTTATCTGCCCCCCCCCTTTGTTTGGAGACTCTTCCTATGCTTTGCTTGATGGCTACAGGACTGTTGATGTTACATTTGCTCCCAATTCCTGTGTCACAATGCAATGCAGTACAGTGTAGTGTTGGGGCCCCCTTTATGCAAGCAGTGCAGCGGAGTGCAGTGCAGTGATAAGGCCCTTCTGTGCAGGCAGTGCTGTGGAGAGGCCTTCTGTATATGCAGGCAGTGCGTGGTCAGGCCCCCCTACATGCAGGCAGTGTGTGGTCAGGCCCCCCTACATGCAGGCAGTGCATGGTCAGGCCCCCCCTATATGCAGGCAGTGCGTGGTCAGGCCCCCCCTATATGCAGGGAGTGCGTGGTCAGGCCCCCCCTATATGCAGGCAGTGC